TCTTGATTAAAGTTAATCGATAATGTAAATAATGTTCAAAACTGTCATTCAGAACTTTTACAGATTGTATTGATGAGAGAAAAGACATATTTAAGACATCAAAAGATATCTTTTTGATACAGTTTTAAAATGTCTTTAAAAGAGCATCTTTAAGACGTTTTTTTTTATAATGTCTTAAAAACATATATATTACTTTTAGTAAAGCCTTAATTAAAGACATCTCTTTTAAGACATCTTTTAGACATACGTGCTATATGGGATATATTTAAAAAAACATTTTAAAGTATACATTTTTAAAAATTTACCAAAAAAAATCTTAGACATTTTCAAAACTTTTTAGAAAAAAAAATTAATAATTTTGAATATTTTTTTACTTACCGCAACATTTTTTTTCTGGCACATCTCTCACAATACAATTCTCTAAATCTTTAGATGATTCATGTTCCTCTGAAATAAATCAATGTATTAATATAGCAGATCTAGATATTGATTATGTAACTTTTTCCTTACAGAGAAACTTTTTCTCTAGGGAAAAAATGAAAAATTCTTTCATTATTTTTAATAATAAAAAATTTCCGCTTTTTGCTTTTGACTGGGGAAGAAATTATAAAAATATTTAAACATTGTAAAAGTAATAAAAGATATAATTCAAATGACATAATTCGAATGATATAATTCAAATAATATAGCGCACGCACGCACACACGTACATACACTTATATTCATTTAAAGAACCATCATATATATTTAAAGTTTTGACATAATTCTTTTATCTGGATGTCAAAGGATTAATTCGTTCAAATATTTTCAAATAATTTGAATGAGTTGCTGATTAGGATAAAAAAAATATGTTAATCCTTCTTTCTACAAAAAAATTCTTCTTTAGTTATTTGGAAATTAAGTTTTAGATAATTGACCTTTAATATAAAATTTTAACTAATTCTATATAACATCTCTGACAAAAATTTTTCTTAGAAATTTTATACAAATTACAATACTTTTCAAAAATATTAAATAAATCTACATCGTTCCTTAGAATATTTCATATATGTAAATTCTGAAATATTTTAAGATTTCTAAGATTTCTTATTCTGAAAAAAAGCCCTAAACTTTCTCAGATTTTATAAAATTTCATCAAAAATTGAAATGAAAAATCTTATAAATATTTCAGAATTTACATGTATGAAGAATTCTAGAATAGATGTAAATTTACTTGGCACTTCTGAAAAGTGTTTCAGTTTGTACAAAGAATCTAAAAAATTTTTGAAAAGATTATAAAATTATATCGATCTTCTGAAAATTCTTAAAATTTTCTAAAATATAATAATAACATAAAAATTTTGAAAAATTATATGAAGAATTCTGAGATAAATTGCCATTAGGAAT